GTGGGGTCGAGGTCGCCTCGAAGCTGTAGTCGCACTCCATGAAGACAGGGCGGTGGTCCCTATCGTCGAAGGCGCTCACGGGTTGCAGTCGTCGTCCCGCGGGTCGTAGACCTCGGCATGCCCGTATGTGGGCGGAGGCCAGTCGGGGCGCGAATGAAGTCGATCCTCGAAGCATGGCCCACTGGGCCCTGCAAGGTCCAGCTGGGTAGTGTGTGTTCACCGCGAGCATGGTTGTGTCTCCCAGCGTTTGATGCCAGAGCTTGCCCGCGAACCCTTCCAACTCGGCCCCACACGGTCCTACATGTATGTCAGCTTCACGGTCCCATGACCAATCCTCCTGATGTCCAGCCCCCGCCCGTGGGTCGATCACCCCCTCGCCGTCGAGGGTGTCGTCAGCACTGTAGCCGAAGTGGTCGTTCAGGTCGACGCCAGTGATGGGGGTACAGCGACAGCCTACGTTGTTCAAGATGGCCTCCGCCCAGCTGCAGCGATCCGCGACGACTCTCCTGAACGTTCGGCGGTCTCCTCTGATAAAAGGCAACGTCGGAAAGAAAAACATCATAAACAATATGTCGGCCGACTGTGACTTGAGTCGCAGCGGCCCGCCCCGCCCAGGCAATGGTCCTGGCGGCGTGTAGATCATGCGGATAAAATTCCGAAGGGAACGCTTCTTGTGAAGACCGATGAACACCCCGCACCTCTTGTTGGACGCCCCCGTCCATCCGAAATTTAGCTCCCAATGGTGAGGCCGAAGGAAGAGTGAGTGTGTGTGTGTGTCCTCGCCCTGTCGCCGCGCGGTTCCTGGTAGCATGATGGCCCCTCTATTCCTGACTTCCGCCGGGACCTCGGTTGCTCGTGTGGCCCCCGTCGCGTACATAGGGTTGTATACGCAAGTCCGAAGAGAAGGCCCGCGACCGATGTCGCCGTTGGGGCGGAGCCCCTCCACGCCCACGGCGAGCAGCACGCTCAGCGGCACGAGAGCGAGGACGCACGCTGGCCATCGCTCGGACGTCCATTCCCTGTGTTTTTTTGTCGGTGTCGTGCGTGATTTCCCCACATCCTGAGTGGGGTTCTTGCTTTCCCAGAACATCCTCCTCCTCCTCCTCCTCCTCCTCCTCCTCCTCCTCCTCTTCCTCCTCCTCCTCCTCCTCCTGCTTCCTCCACCATCCCATACTGTATCATAGTATACCAATACCATGCCACTCCATACCATACCTTACCATACCAGACCATGCATCCACCATCCCATACCATACCATGGCTTTCCTCACACCATGTTATTTATCAGGTTTCGTGCCCCTCCCACCCCTCCAGGGAGGCCCCGCCTGAGCGAGCAGGGTATTCGCACACCATGTTATTTATCAGGTTTCGCGCCCCTCCCACCCCTCCAGGGAGGCCCCGCCTGAGCGAGCAGGGTACTCGCACACCATGTTATTTATAAGGTTTCGTGTCCCTCCCACCCCTCCAGGGAGGCCCCGCCTGAGCGAGTAGGGTATTCGCACACCGTGTTATTTATCCGGTTTCGTGCCCCTCCCACCCCTCCAGGGAGGCCCCGCCTGAGCGAGCATGGTATTCGCACACCATGATATTTATCATGTTTCCTGCCCCACCCATCCCTCCAGGGAGGCCCCGCCTGAGCGAGCAGGGTATTCGCACACCTTTCTATTTATCAGGTTTCGTGCCCCTCCCACCCCTCCAGAGGGGCCCCGCCTGAGCGAGCAGGGTATTCGCACACCATGTTATTTATCAGGTTTCGCGCCCCTCCCACCCCTCCAGGGGGGCCCCGCCTGAGCGAGCAGGGTATTCGCACACCATGTTATTTATCACGTTTCGTGCCCCTCCCACCTCTCCAGGGAGGCCCCGCCTGAGCGAGCAGGGTATTCGCACACCATGTTATTTATCAGGTTTCGTGCCCCTCCCACCCCTCCAGGGAGGCCCCGCCTGAGCGAGCAGGGTATTCGCACACCCTGATATGTATCAGGTTTCCTGCCCCACCCATCCCTCCAGGGAGGCCCCGCCTGAGCGAGCAGGGTATTCGCACACCTTTCTATTTATCAGGTTTCGTGCCCCTCCCGCCCCTCCAGGGAGGCCCCACCAGAGCGGGCAGGGTATCCGTACACCATATTATTTATCAGGTTTCGTGCCCCTCCCACCCCTCCAGGGAGGCCCCGCCTGAGCGAGCAGGGTATTCGCACACCATGATATTTATAAGTGTTCGTGCCTCTCCCACCCCTCCAGGGAGGCCCCACCAGAGCGGGCTGGGTATCCGTACACCATATTATGTATCAGGCTTCGTGCCCCTCCCACCCCTCCAGGGAGGCCCCGCCTGAGCGAGCAGGGTATTCTCACACCATGTTATGTATCTGGTTTCGTGCCCCTCCCACCCCTCCAGGGAGGCCCCACCAGAGCGGGCAGGGTATTCGCACACCATATTATTTATCAGGTTTCGTGTCCCTCCACCCCTCCAGGGAGGCCCCACCAGAGCGGGCAGGGTATCCGCACATCATGTTATTTATCAGGTTTCCTGCCCCACCCACCCCTCCAGGGAGGCCCCGCCTGAGCGGGCAGGGTATTCGCACACCATCAGGTTTCGTGCCCCTCCCGCCACTCCAGGGAGGCCCCGCCAGAGCGGGCAGGTTTCGTGCCGTTCCCGTCGCACACCATGTTATTTATCAGGTGTCGTGCCCCTCCCACCCCTCCAGGGAGGCCCCACCAGAGCGGGCAGGGTATCCGTACACCATATTATTTATCAGGTTTCGTGCCCCTCCCACCCCTCCAGGGAGGCCCCACCAGAGCGGGCAGGGTATTCGCACACCATATGATTTATCAGGTTTCGTGCCCCTCCCACCCCTCCAGGGAGGCCCCACCAGAGCGCAGACAAGAAGCAATGGAACCCCGTAACATCTTTATGTGGGGAACTCCGTTAGCATAAGTTTGTTTCGCCAAATGATCAAGGATGCTCCTCGATGGTCCTCGCCGAAAGAAAAAGGCACACGTCCGAGCGATGCCAGGCACGAGGCGAGAAGCCCGCGCCTCGCGCGGGGACCCGCCCCCTCCCTCGTGGGCGCGGCGGGCCCCTCAGGGGGGAAGACATGATGCCGCTGGGCCACCTGACTGTGTGCATCAGAATACTGAGATGCCGCGGAAAAGGAGGGGTGGTCGGAGCCGTCGCAGCGGCTGGAGGAGGAGGAGGAGGAGGAGGAGGAGGAGGAGGAGGAGGAGGAGGAGGAGGAGGAGGAAGTGGAGGAAGTGGAGGAGATGGAGGAGATGGAGGGATGAGGAGCAGAGGAGGCCCCGGGAGGGGGAGGCAGCGTCTGGGGGACTGTGTGCATCAGAGTACTAATTGAGGGATGGAAAAACGACCCTACCCTGGGTTACAATTGCGCGGTCTGTAAACCTCCAGGGACCCCCCAAAGCCTAGAGCCGCCAGGACGCGGCACATCACGCAGGGTTTACCCTGTCAGCCCACAGGAGCTTCAGCGCACAACGCCTCGTAAACCAGGGTAGGGGCGTTTTCTCTGCCCTTGAACTAAGATGCCGCGGAAAAGGAGGGGTGGTCGGAGCCGTCGCAGCGGCTGGAGGAGGACGAGGAGGAGGAGGAGGAGGAGGAGGAGGAGGAGGAGGAGGAGGAGGAGGAGGAGGAAGTGGAGGAGATGGAGGAGATGGAGGAACGAGGAGCAGAGGAGGCCCCGGGAGGGGGAGGCAGCGTCTGGGGGAGCGCGGCGCCTCCACGCAGAACGGTTCCGGCCCTTTCTCTCCAGGTCGCGCGGACAGAACCGCACGGAGCGGGTCCCTTGGGCGCCGAGGGCCGGGCGCAGATCGGGGGCCGCCCTCTGCCCCACGAGGGCAGTGGCCGGGGCCCCCTCACGAAACCTGCGGTTTCTCCAAAAAGTTCCAAGCAGGTGAGGCCGGCGGCGCGCAGGCAGGGGCAGGACGGTGGGGCGTCGCCCTGCTGCAGCTCCGTGCAGTGCCGACCTCTGCGCCGGTTTCTGACGCCGCGTCGATCGTGACCGATCGTGGCTTCCCTATGGCGCAGATCGTTTGACGTCGGCCGAATGTGGGCCACTGGCGGCGTTCAACCTCCAGCGCCCGCGCTGGGGTCACCGCCGCGCGATACGGCACGAGCTTGCCGTACGAGGGCAAGGGCGTTTCCGACAAGGGGATTGCGCCCCCCCGCCCTCCCCGAAGCCTCGAAGGGCCTCTCGGGGCGCCGCTCTCAGAGGGCGAGGCAGCTGGCGAGAGGCCTTCCCAAGAGTTCACCGTTTTCGACCTGCTCCCGGCCGACTCCCGCTCGAAACGGGCCCCTAGACCCCCCCTAGACCCCTCCAGGCAATCCGTCCTGGCACGTTTTCCGAGCCGCGTCCAGCCGCGGCGCCGAGCGGGGCCCCTTCGTCGGCAAGCTTGGGAAAACGAGCTCGCCCTGCCCCATGCTGCGCGCCGTCCGTACTACTCAAAGGGCCCTATACGAAAAAGTTACTGGCGTGGAGCTCTGCAGCGGGCTGGATGGACGCGCAGCGGACGACTGCTTGAGCACTGTGGTGGGAGGCCGCCAACGGGGCAACGGGCAAGGAATACCCACAACAAGACGGATTTATGATTCCTGCGATAACTGCATATACCAGGAGGCCAGAACCAATGAACGCTGAAATCGAAATAAACACAATGATCGGAAACTGGGTAAAACGGGAAAGTGGTCGGGCCAGCGGCAAACACAGCACACATTCAGGCCATCGGCCAAGACTATATAGGGCAGCGACGGAATCCATGAAGACTCGCAATTTTTTGATCTCAGACCCAGCCCGGGCCAGCCCACTTCATTGATGAGAACCTCCCGGTACTCCAACTTTCGGCTGTCCGCGCAGATTTCGTGGGTCGGCACTGCTGCCCCCTCTCTGGCGCGCCGGGGTCAGCGCCGGAGGCCAAGCGCCATGGGCTCCCCACGCAGATCCAACACATCCGCGCGGAACGGCGACAATCTATACTTCTGCATGCGTTTCTCAGGGACATACCCATAAGCCCCTGCCCGATGCCCTCGCCTGGCGCTCCAAAGTGGCCTCTCGCCTAAAAAATTCCACGACCGCCCGGTTGCCGCGTCTGGCGCGGCCAGGCAGGCTGGTTGCTGGCGTGAAGGAGTCGTATCGGGGATGGACAGACCTCCCTTCAGTAACACGTGGTTTGGTGAAAACGACCTGAGGCCCAAACCTGGCGGGCGCCAGCCTGGACAAAATGACGGCCACGGCGCCCTCTCGAGAACCGAAAATGGACACTTCACTCATCGACGTGTCACTGTTGGGGGCTCTGTCCACCCCCGATCGTAAGCACAAGCTGCGCTGTGCCCGCCAGGAGAAAAGCCCATGCAGCAGAGCCGACGGGACTCCGTCCGCAGACCGAGTGGCGGCCCTCCACGGCCGGAGGGGGGACGGTCGAGACCACCGGCGGCCCTCGCCCTCCTCTGGACCTCCTCGCGCCCCTCGTGAGGAAATGAACGTGGGGGGGGGAAGCGTAGTCGCACGGAGCGGGGCGGACGAGAGGGGGGGCCTGAAGCTACTCTAGATTTCGCAGCACAAGGGAGGGTGTCACAATCCTCCCAGACGAACCATTTTAGACCCCCCAGACCATCATGGAAGGGCGGCCCTTTACCCAGACCCCCCCCGAACCCTCCAAGACAGCTCAAATCAGACCCCCGCCCAAATGTGACCCCCACTTGATTATGGAATCCGGAGTAGGTGCGCTCGCACCACATCCGACATTAGAGGAAGGACAAAGCGCATAAACAGAAACTGTTGGAGATCCGCGCGGGTTTCTTGGATCGGCACCCGACCTCCCTCCCTGGCGCACGGAGCGCGCCAGGGGGCTCCGGCGCCGATCCAAGAAATCCGCGTGGACCTCCGAAAGTGTATCTTTATGCAGTTGTTTGTCTTCCGAGACATCCTAGCCCTCCCTCTCATGCCTTCCCACTGCGCATTTTTGTTTGTCTATCCGCGAACGCGTGTCCTAGCCGACCTAGACCTCCAGAGAGCGACCCCATCGCGGTTTGCACAGTCTGGAAAGAGATGCTGCGTGCAGAGGAGGAGGAGGAGGAGGAGGAGGAGGAGGAGGAGGAGGAGGAGGAGGAGGAGGAGGAGGGGTAGGAGGAGGAGGAGGAGGAGGTGGAGGTGGAGCAGGAGGAGCAGGAAGAAGACGAGGAGGACGTGGCAGGAGGAGGAGGACGAGGGCGACCGGCAGCAGCAGCAGGGTGCGGCAGGAGCCGGAGGGCCGGGCGGCGGCACATGGGAGGGGGGACAGTGGAGCGGGGAGGAGGAGGACGAGGGCGACCGGCAGCAGCAGCAGGGTGCGGCAGGAGCCGGAGGGCCGGGCGGCGGCACATGGGAGGGGGGACAGTGGAGCGGGCAAGCAGAATCCCTGAGGACTCTGGCCCACGTCAGCGTCGTCGTCGTCGCCGCCGCCGCCGCCGTCGTCGCCGCCGTCGGCGTCGTCGTTGTCCCCCTCTTTCAGGGTCGGCGGCGCCGGCCGCCAGGCCTGCGCAAGCGGATCCAGTAAAGAGGCCCGCGCGGGGGCGAGAGCGCCACCCTGAACGACGGGGGCGAAGCGCCGATCCGAACAATGAGGCGCAGGACAGTCGAGGCGTTGACCTAAGGAACCCTAAATCAGGAACGAGGCGCTTTTTTCTATAAGTTAAACTCCGATTTCCGATCGAAAACATCAGGAAAACCTGAGGCAAACTGTGAAACACTTAAGGAACGCGGAGCCCCTCCCCAACCAGAAGGGTTCCTTCTTCAGGGCCCCGACTGTATGCAGCGGGAACACAATTTTGAAGAAACACCGCAAACAATGGTAGTGCAACCGGCCAAAGGAAATACCATCTTTGTCCAATTCTCTATGTTAAAAGATGTGGCAGAGAGAACTGGCCATCTTCGGGACGAAGCCAGAGGAGCGAGGAGAGTAGTACTCAGAATGCGTTATGGTCGAATGAGCTGCACGCAGCTGGTGTTCCCGGCGCCGCCCGGCGCCGGAGGAGAAAATGGCCCGGCGGCGGAAGCAAAACCAGCTGCATGAAAAAGACCGCGCACTCCAGGTTTCGTAATAAAGGGAGGGGGGTCTCATTTCGGGGGGGGGGTCTCTTCCAGGCCATCTTGGAGGGCCCTGGGGGGTCTGGGGACGATGTTTTGGAGGCTTCTCCCATGGGGGAGGTCCGAAATGGCTTGTCTTGGAGGGTCCAGACCCCCTCCCTTTTATTACGAAATCTGGAGTACGAGGAGGAGGAGGAGAGAGAGGAGGAGGAGGAGGAGGAGGAGGAGGAGGAGGGGAGGAGGAGGAGGGAGGAGGAGGAGGAGGAGGGAGGAGGAGGAGCCCCGACACCTCCCACCGCAGGTCCGACCCGACACCGGCGGAGGAGGTGGGGGAGGGGCAACTGGGGCGCAGGCTGAAGGGGCCTTGAAGGGGGCCCTACAGGCTTCCTCCTCCTCCTCCTCCTCCTCCTCCTCGCCCTCTGTTGCTCCCATCGTACTTACAACTTACACAGACCACATCCCAGAAATCATTTCGAGCACCCCGAACAGTATCGGAACAGTATCGGAACAGTGTCGAACAACTATCGCCTCCCAGGGCCCGACACGTGGAAGCCCTCCAGTTTCGGTCCTTTCTTGGTGCTCGAAATTCTTTCTAGCAGCCAAGGCTAAATTCGGCTGGAGCATCGTAATGCTAGCCTGGCTCGACAGAAGATGGTGGAACGGCCCGGATGTCTTCCCCCCCCCCTGCTCGGGTGCGCCGAAGAGGGCAGTTAGCGCACCACGGCCCGAGATATGTGCGCGGAAGAAGAACAACGATGAGAAGAAGAGGCGCTTTCGCGGGAGAAGAAGAATAACGATGATAATAGTAAGAACGATGAGAAGAGTAACAACGATGATAATAACGCGCGGAATAATCTCATGGCTCCGACCATGTGAGCGTTTTCTTAGTCGGCGTTTCGACATTGCGTGGAAGGGGGGGGGTCTGGCTCCGGACCTCTGCTTAGCGCGACTGTTTGCAGCAGTGCGTCGTTTGGATGAGGCTCCACCTGCCCGAAACAGGCGCCAATAACAGCCAAGATCTACTCCAAGATCTTCCATCGGCAAAACCATGAAGAAGAAAACGACCACTATGACATCCACCCCTATTCCATTCCCCCCTTTCTGGGCATCCCGACAACATGTTTCACGCAATTGCCCACTGGGCCGGTCCTCCTCCCTCCTCTAGGGGGCCACATGCGAACCCTATCCCTACCCCCCACGGTTTCTGAGGGGGGTAGGGGTGGGGTTCGCATGTGGCCCCCTATCCTCTCTGCTCCGAGGCGGACGGTGTCTCGATATGCCGTCGTCGGAGACGGGAAAGCCTCCCGTCGGGGACCACAGCCGCTGCGCGTGTCATGTCTGGGCCAAGCCCACGCACACGGCGCACTCGCCGGCTCAAGCTGGGCCCACGCACCGCCAGGCACAGTGGCCCCTTGCCAAGCTTGCGCCAGCACGGCGGGTCGAAAAACCGCGTCTGCCGCGCAGACACACGTAAAATTGCACACTCTGCGCCTAGGAGGCTGGCCTGAGGGTGGTGAGGTTGACGATGGAAATGTTTCACAGCTTGGTTAGGGCTCAGCCGATTCAGCATTGGCAACTGAGCACGCAATTCCTCTACATCGCAACTGATACAAAGCTGATTCAACACTGGCTCGATTTTAGCTTACAGCTGCTTCAGATTGACCCGCATCTGAATTTCAGCTCAATCACGTTGGACGCCACAAGTCGTTATCACTTGGTGAGTATTTGATTGACCCCTGATTTACACCACGGCCCCACAACCTGGCAAGAAATAGCGAGGTCCTAAGGGAAACGGGTCCTGGGCCTGAGACCTTCCCCTGGGACCAGCTCTTCAAGCTGAAGATTCGCTGTTGATGCGTGCCGGGCCCGTCGAGGGCCTGAGTTAACCGAAAACGGCCAAACACCTCGAAGACCCGTTTCCCTCAGGACACGCTTCTTTCATGGCAAACGACGCGGCGGCACAGGGACTGTTGACCACTGCGACAACGGCGACAGCAAGACACCCATGACATAACAACGCCAAGACAACGGGACACCTGGACAGCGCGACACTGCGGCAACGCCACACCACCACGACGCGCGCACTCGCCAACTAATACGGAGTATAGGCAAGACGCACTCCAACGAGGCCACCACAGCTCTGGCATCGCGAGTGGTTCTGGCACTTCCCTGACGACTATGCTGCGCAATGAACCCACCTGCATACTGCACCCTTCGCTTGGACTCGTTGGGACCTGCGAGTTTCCCTGCGGGAAGAGAGGCAGAGGTGGGCATGGCACGACTGTGTTATCCAGAACTGCGACCTGGCTGTGTTAAAATTCAGGCCGCGAGTCGCAGAAGACGCGGCCATGCTTGATCATCCTTGCCAGGAGGCGGATCGTCGCTGGCAGGACACTTTTCCAGAGGCTTCCGTAGGTCGCCACATTATTGGCGAAGGCCTCGCTGAGATCGCCAGGCTCAGGCACCAACAAGAAGGTCATCTTCATTGTTGTCCTCGTTGGTTGGCTCCTTCTCGCTGGCTGCGCGGACCTCGTACGGGCGTACGAGCACCTCGACTCCGTTCACGACCTGGTTCTCTCCAGCCTCTATGATCTTCTCCGCCTCCTCGATTGAACTCATCACGACGAAACCCAGTCCCGACGGACGGATCCGGACAGCAAGTCCAGTGGACTGCGGCTTGACGTGCGAGAACGCGACGCGCACGCACTCCACCTTTGGCGGCGGGCTCAAGGGGGTTACGCGAGGGGGGCATGTATAGAAGCCTCCAATCCTTTCCACGACGCCGCCCTGCTTATACGGACACCCCCCTCCTCGCGCCACTCTGTTGTTCGCGCGGCCGACACCTTCCCGAAAGCAGAGTAGTGGCTCTCGAGCGCTGCCCCCGACTGGAAGCCGAGCTTGCTGATTTTGCGCACCTGGACGACGCGGCGCGAGTCTACCTCCTCAGTGGAACGACAACCGGCATAAAGATAAACTTTTGGATGTCCGCGCGGATCTCTTGGATCTGCGCTGCACCACCCTGCATGGCGCGCGGAGCGCGTCAGGGGTCAGCCCAGCGCCGGCCCAAGAAATCTGCGCCGAGCGCACCGTGCTCTGTTCAAGACGCCTTCCAGCAAACACGACGTGTTTTGGGGGGCACTTACATGGTCCCCTGCGTGAGGCCTGGGACCAAACGGCTTGAACCAAAATGGTCCAACTGTGTCCGGCGTCGTATACATTTCACAACTTGGACCCCTGGAGGCTCAGACCACTTCCCCAAGAACGGCTTTCCATCCATAGGTGCTCTTTGACGGTCCCGAGGCCCGCCAAGGGCCCGTGAAGGCTGAAAATGACGAAAAACCCTCCGTCGATGTTTGGCACGACGCGAGGGGGTCGGCGCGGAGCGTCGAACGTTTATGCTCACGCGGCGTTCTTTTCCTTCGGCTCCTGCAGGGCGCGCAGGTGCGAGCGCAGCGTGTCGCTCGCCATCTTGGCGTGCTGCGCCGTGCACTCCTCTCCGCTGGGGCGCTGCGGGGTCTGCGCCTGCTTCCTCTGGAGGGCTTAGCAAGCTGCAGTCGGGGCGTTGACCTAAGGAATTCTAAATAAGGAACGAGGCCCCTTTTCTCCATAAGTTAAACTTCGACTTCCTATCGAAAGCATAAGGAAAACCTGGGGGAAGCTGTGAAACATTTACGAAACACCGAGCCCCTCCCCAACCAAAAGGGTTCCTTCTTCAGGGCCCCGACTGTACGGGCACCCGGCCCTTAGGACGGGGATCTGAATGCGAAGGTCCAAGGCATGGAGGTTAGGGGTCCGCGGCGACATGTCAGCCAGCGTGGAGCCCCAGGAGACAGTTATTGCAATATGTGGATGTGCGAGCTATGGGGTGCAGGCTACGTGGTGCAACCCAGGTGGTGCATACGAAGTGGTTCAAACTACGTGCCACAAACTACGTACTGCAGGCCGTGTTGTGAAAGTTCGATGGTGCAAGATATGTGGCACACACTATGTTGTGTACTCCACGTGGTGCGATCTATCTGCGCCAACTCATGAATTGTTAGCTCCACTGCTCGCGCAACTATCAGACACTCCCACACGCAACTTGTTGAGCAAAACCGATGTGGCCCCGATTGCGGCTGCCGAGTGGCACTTGCTGGCGCAACTGTGCGGCCGCGCTGGCACGCGGACGCTCGCGCGCAGGGCGAACAAGTGGTTTGGCACAACCGATGCGGGCGCAGTGGCGCTTACCGACGGGAACTTCCTAACGCGTCTCAAAGGCCTCGCTACCGCGCGGACGCGTCAATGCGGGGCGGTGATACGGGCAAGCGCGGCAATCATGATGACGTCGAAACCGGCGGCAACGATAACGATGTTGGCGATGGTGGTGGCGATGGTGACGATGACGGCGGCAAGGCCAATGACGGCGCAGATGCTGGGGACGACGATGCTGATGATGATGTCCATGTGTCGGTGATGAAGACGGTTGTGCTGATGTCGGCGGCAGTGGCGGCGATTGACGGCGACGATGACGGCGGTGATGAGGGTGATGGTGAGGAAGTGCGCGCGTAGACATTCAAGAGATCTGGCATACATGTTCTTGAAAACGCTTGGCTTTTCATGTGCGTTTGAGGAACTCGATTTCGGCATGCTTCGGAAGTCAGGATGCTTTTGAACAGATTTTGACGCTCGCGCGTGACGGCGCGTGCGTACGGCCCGCATGGTGTTATTTGATGCGGAGTCGCGCGCAGGGCGCGTGCTCGATCAACGCAGACGCACCGCGTTGTGAGAAGAGTGTGCGGGTTCCTGGCGAAACTGCCAAACTCATAGGGTCATCATGTGATTTCAAATAGCACGCGTAGGCAGAATGTCGACAGGTTTTTGCTGAGAGGAGTCCACGGTTTTTCTGATGTTCCTCAATCAGTGCTTACACTGAAGGGGTCCTAGCGGATCTTGAAAGATTTGGTGAAAATTGGCGGCCGATTTCGATAGGCCGACGGGTTCCTGGGTTCCCGGTTCTGGGTTCCCGAGTTGCTGGTTCTGGTTTCTCGGCGTAAGTGGGCGGCCGATTTCTGTAGGGGGCCAGGGTCCTGGCTTCTCGGGTTCCTGGTTGCACCTTTCGATGGGCGGCGGGGTTGCTAGGTTTCTGGGTTCCCAGGGTCCTGGTCGATCTCCTTGTCGATGGGTCTCGCCATCGATCTCACTTTCCACTTATCGATCGATACCACGATCGATCACACAACCGATCTCACTATCAACATCACAATCGATCTCACTATAGATCGCACGAGCGATCTCACGATCGATCTCACTGAATCGACTTCACTAGCGGTCTCACGACCGACCTAAACATCGTCCTCACTATCGATCTCACTATCGATCCCACTATCGATCTCACAATCGGTCTCAGTATCCATATCACTCACTTCCAAACCATCCACTGGTTTGGGTTCTTCTCTGGTGTCATTGATCTGTTGACATGCTGGTAGCACTGACATGGTTGGTATGGATTCGACATGTGCGTGCGCGTGTGGACTTTGCAGTATTGGTTCGCCAGGGGTTACTGCCAACTGATCGTTTAGGATGCACAACTGCGCGCATGGTATTTCTTGACAGGGGTGATGAGGGGGCCCAGGGGCGATATCAGCATGGTTGGGATGGTACGGCCTCGTGTGCAAAACGAACGATGGGGCGTAATCGTCGCATGTAGTTTGTGCTCACCTAAGGGGTACAGATAAGTCCAGGCTCGGGAGGGTGGTGGATCACGAACGGCGAACTCCGTATCCGCGCCCTCGCGGTCTGGATTCGGGGGCGTGCTCCCGCGGATGCGCGGTCGTGCGGACACGTTCCGCGCGGCATCCGCGACGCAAGCGCCCCGCATCCGCGGGCTCGCGGCCCAGAGGCCTGGCCCGCGAGGCCGCGGATACGGACAATGGTTGTCGCCCGCGAGTGGAGTCTCGGGCGTTGGCAGAACTGGGTTTAGTGGAACCTGGTTTTGTGATTTGTGCCGGGGGCGCCCCCCCGCCCCATTTCCACAAACCGGAACTGCCGTCGCCCGAAGAACACCAGTTACGGCAAACCTGGTTTAGTGAATCTGGCCACTTGAGGGGCCCCAGGGCCCCAACACTAACCGGGTCCCCTTGACCGAGTTCCTGACTATACCCGAGAGTCTCTCCTTCTTCTGAGAGGAGCGCCTGGTTGGTGCAATCGGGTCGGGCGAAAGGGGGGGATAGCAAAGGGGGGGTTGAGAATCAGCTCACGCAGCTGATCTTCCCGGCGCCTCCCGGCGCCGGAGTTGACCATGTATCGAGGACTGGGCCCCTCGGTGAAGCCGAAACCAGCTGCATGCAGCAAATTTCGTAACCCCCCCATTCCCAATCCCCCCCTTCGTTCGGCCCGATGCAGGCTGCCGGGGCGCCTACGCGACGCCCGCGGGCGGACACCTGGGGCGGGGCCTCGGCCTGCCGCCCTCCCCGCGCTTTGGCGCGACAGCACGGGCGCGCACCACGGCGGGGCCTCGGCATTCCGCCCGAGCGCGAGGCGCCCACGATGGCGCCCACGGGCGGGCGCCGGGCGAAAGCCCTCGGGCGACCTCCTCCTCCTCCGCCTCCTCCTCCTCCTCCTCGGGCGATATCCTCCTCCTCCTCCTCCTCCTCCTCCTCCTCCTCCTCCTCCTCCTCCTCCTCCTCCTCCTCCGCTGCACTGTCCACTCGCGGGCGCCCACGGGCATGCCCCTCCAGCGGGGGGCGCCGACGGGCGCTCCGGGACAGCCCAGAGCACCGAGCCGAGCACTCGAGGAAAGCATGGCTCGGTGCGGAGATCCCCCCACGCGTGCACTCCATTGCACCGATGGCCTGGCTGCGGGTCTCTCTGTGCATGGGCGTCTGTGCGGGAGGCGACTTCGGGCGAACAGCGGGTGCGACAGACGACGGCGACGACTCTGGCAGGGGCGGTCGAAAACAGCGATGACGCACAGGCATCCTCGAGTGAGGCCGCCCGCCGGAGACACCCCCACAAGCTGGGCGCGGGGGGGCGCTCCCTCCCGGAGTGCCGACACCAGCGCTTCGCTCGAGACGTTCGCGATCTGCTCTGAAAGCAGAGGAGCCTGGGCAACCAACGCAAAGGAGTCTGGGCAACCGGGCAGGCAAACCGCTCGAGACATCCCCACGATCTGGCCGCGGATCGGGCTGTGCGCAACCACTCCTGGCGGCTCCCCCTGGAGGTGCTGGAACCAATGCCTCGCTCGAGACATCCTCACGACCTGCTCTTAAAGCAGCGGGGCCTGGGCAACCAAGCATGGAAACCACCTGAGACATCCCCACGCTCAGGCCGCGAACGGGGGTGCTGGAGCCAGCGTCTCGCTCGAGGCATCCTCGCAGTCTGCTCCGGAAGCAAAGGAGCCTGGGCAACCAAACAGGCAAACCGCCGGAGACATCCCCACGCTCAGGCCACGAACAGGGCCGTGGAAACTACGCCTGGCGGCTCCCCCTTGGATTGCTGAAGCCCCAGCGCCTCGCTCGAGACATCCTCGCAGTCCACTTAGAAGGCAAAGGAATCTCAGCAACCGAAGCGAACGGAACTGTGCAACCACCCCTGGCGGCTCCGCTTGAGGGTGATGAATCCAGCGCCTCGCTCGAGACATCCTCACAATATGCGAGTCAAAGTGCGAGTGCGTCGCAAGTCCAAGCACGAGTGAGGCGGATTGTGAACTAGCTTCAGCGCGAGCAGCTCTGAATGTGAGTGAGTCTCAGCGTGAATGAGTCTGGGTATGAGTGCGCCTGGGTGTGAGCGAGTCTGAATGTGAGTAAGTCTGAACATGGTCGACTCTGAGTGAGAGCGAATCTGAGTATGAGTGAGGCTTGGTAAGGTAGCGGAGGATGTGAGTGAGTCTGGGCGTGATCGAGTCTGACTACGAGTGAGTCTGAGTAATTTTGACTCTGGGTATGGAAGAGGAGGATGTGAGTGAGTCTGAATGAGACTGAGCCTGAAAATGAGTGAGCCTGACTATGACGGAGTCTGAGTGCGCGTGCGTTTGAGTGAATCTGAATGAGGAAGACGAGGAGTGGTGGGAAAGGGGTGTGGTGTGTGTGTGTCGGAAGCGTTGAAGTACGAACCAGAAGCCAATCTTTGGGGATGGAGAACCATAACCCCGAAGTGGAGGCAACATGTGGGGAACTACCAACGCCTTCGGCCTGTGCATCAAATCAAACCACCCATAAATTAGGCTACGCCCCCACGGTGGTATTAGGGTTAGTGTTATGTTGCTCCCATCGTACTTAAGGACCACAGCCCAGAAATAATTCCGAGCACCCGGAAAAGTATCGAAAGGGGGTCGAAAGAGTGTCGGGCGAGTGTCTCCCAGGGCCCGACACGCAAGAATGCCCTCGAGCTTCGGCACTTATCTGATGCTCGACATTCCTTCTGGCGGTCAAGGCTAAAGTAGGCTGGACCATCCTACGGTCAGGGGGGTGCCGGTGCTCTCAGTGATCTGAGGCTGGCTGAAGCGAGCCCGGACCCAGGTGCGCAGGCCCCGGGGCCCTCTGGGCGAGCCGT